GATGAGGTCTCGCTGCCCAGGCAGGTCTCGAACCTGCGGGCTCAGGCAATCCACTCACCTAAGCCTCCCAAAGGCGCGGGATTACAAGGCTGAACCACTGAGCCCGGCAGAGTCTCACTCTATCTTCCAGGGTGGAATGTAGTGGCACGCTCACAGCCACCACCGTGGCCTCGACTTGCTGGGCTCAGGCAATCCTTTCATTTCAGTTTACCAAGTAGGGGGAACTACGGGTGCACGCCACCATGACGGGCTAATTTTTTTTTTTTTAATTGTAGAGATGAGGTCTCAGGCTGGTCTCCAAACCCTGTGCTCAGGAAATCCTGTCACCTTCACCTCCCAAAGTGCTGGGATCAGATGTATGCGCCACAGTGCCCAGCTAATCTTTTTTTGGATTTATTGTAGAGATGAGGTCTTGCCATGTTTCCCTGGCTGGTCTCGAACCTGTGGACTCAGGCAATCCTCTCACCTCTGTCTCCCAAAGTGCTGGGATGACAGGTATTTAAACACAGGAATCCAGGTTCAGGGTTCTCTGTGGACTTTGCAAAAACCCCAGGACCCTGTATCTGGGACTTGGGATTCAGCTGCAGTCTGCAGCATGGTCTTGGCCAAGTCACCTAACCTCTCAGAGATGGTGTTTCTTCCATCACAAGCTGGGGACAATTGTTCCCCCACCCCCAGGGTTATTGTAAAAAACAATCAAGAGGACCAGTGAACACAAAACCACGAGGCACTCAGCAGATGTCCAGCGGAAGCTTCCTAACAAAGAAACCTGTATAGCTGGACATCAGCTCAGCGCCCAGCTCCTAAGGCGTGTGCAGACCCCACAGGCTAAGACCCCAGACCCGGGCTCGGCGGGTTTCTGGGCAGGGACTAAATGGCCCCTTGGCGCCACCTCGTGGTCTTTGGTGTGTGGTGCCCGAGGCGCCAGAGGGCCTGCATGCTTTGGGGTTGGGTGTCTCGGTATGACCTTGGCCCCGGCGGAGGCGGGAAAAAATATACCAGGGTCTCAGAAAGGACAGAGTGGGGCAGGCAGTGGGACTAACCTTCCCGAGGCGAAAGTTCTTGAGGAGCAGCAGGGACTGTAGCGAGTTAGACTGTCGGATTCTCCTTCGGAGTGGGCCCTACCCGCCCCCACCGTGGGCCCAGCCCCCTCAGGGCAGGCCTGTCTTCCTCCTATTCCCACGTTCTCTGGCATCAGAACCCTCAAAGTGGACCATCAGCTCCATCAGGGATCGTTCACACCCGGTGTGCTTGCACTGTGCAGTTCCTTTGTCCGAAACGCCTTTCTCCAACTCGTCCACCTGACAAACTCACCTCCAGCCTTTCTGTTGGAGAGAGGAGAGCAAGACATTCCTACAACTAGGGAGAAAACAGAAATCAAGGGGTCTCTCCCAGCAGCGGCACAGACACCTCCGGGATATTGCGAAATGTATCTTTGGTCTCCATCCTAGTTTCTTGACACACAACTCCTAAAATCCTTGGAATCTTCAGGGTATGTCTTTTTGTATGCTAATGATTGCCTGAGGGCTGGCAGCCCTAGGCAGCTCCAGGAGGATGGAGCGGGTCCCCAGAAAGACCTATGCAGGATTAGAGGACTGAGACTTTCAGCTCCACCTCCCATCCTTGGGGAGGGGAGGAGGTTGCAAGTCAAGCTGATGACCAGTGGTCAATGGTTCAGTCAATTATGACTATGTAATGAAGTCTCCATGAAGAGCCAAAGAAGCCTGGGCTTCTGGGAGCTTCTGGGCCGCTGACCACCACCAGGTGGTTCCTGGTGGGTGGTGCTCCCGGGGAGGGCATGGAAGCTCGGGCAGTCCCCTCTTTCCTTTGTAATAGCCTTTACAATAAACCCGTAAACAGAAGTGCTTCCTTGGGTTCTGTGAGCCGCTCCAGCAAATTAACAGAACCCAAAGAGGAGGTTGTAGGAACCACAGCTGGAAGCTGGTCAGTCAGAAGTTCCAGGGGCCCAGATTTGCAAATGTTTTCTAAAGAAGGGGTTTGTTTTTTTTTTTGAGTTGGAGTCTCACTCTGTCGCACAGACTGGAGTGCAGTGGCTGCTCCTGGCCACAGCAGCCTCGGCCTGCTGGGCTCCAGCGATCCTTCCGCCTCAGCCTTCCAAGTAGCTGGAATTACAGACATGCGCTACCAGGCCCGGCTGATTTTTTTTTTTTTTTTTTTTTTTTATTTTATTGTAGAGATGAGGTCTCGCTGCCTAGGCGGGTCTCGAACCCATGGGCTTAGGCAATCCACTCATCTCTGCCTCCCAAAGGCACAGGATTACAGGCTGAGCCACCGAGCCCGGCTAAGAAGGGGCTTTAAAAAAAAATTTTTTTTGAGTTGGAGTCTCACTCTGTCACCCAAACTGGAGTACAGTGCAGTGGTTGCTCCCGGCCACTGCAGCCTCCACCTCCTGGGCTCATGCTATCCTTCCGCCTCAGCCTTCCAAGTAGCTGGAACTACAGGTGCGCACCACCACGCCTGAATAATTTTTAGGTTTATTGTAGAGATGAGGTCTCACTGAGTTGCCCAGGCTGGTCTCGAACCCCTGGACTCAGGCAGTCCTCTTGCCTCCGCCTCCTGCCAAGTTGTCCAGGTTGGTCTTGAATCCGTGGGCTCATGCAGTCCTCTCACCTCTATCTCTCAAAATGGTGGGATTTCAGGAGTGAGCCACCATGCCTGGCTAAACAGAAAGTTTCAGCTGCAGCCCCCAGATTGCTTTTCCCCCCATGTGAACGCTCTCATTGCCCGTGTTTGACTGCTGGGTATGGTGATTCACCGGTCATTTTGTTGTTAGTCACCAGCATCAGACAATTCCGCTTTCCAAACAAGCAGTGGTAATAACAAAACCTCACATAAGGGTGTTGTGATCTCAGCCATCATGCCACAAACAGACAGCTCTGTGTGCACAAATACAAGTGAGAAGGACAGAGAGGAGGCAGGAAGCACAGTTCTTATATAATTTACAAGTTTACTTGTCCTAAATAAATACAACCTGAGAACAACCACTTTGATGCCCTCAAACACTATCATTTTTTTTTGAGTCAATATCTCATTGCCACCCAGGCTGGAGGGCAGTGGCATTATCACAGCTCAGTACAGCCTCAACCTCCTTGGCTCCGGTGGTTGTCTCACTTCAGCTTCCCGAGTAGCTTGGACTACAGGTGTGTGCCATCATACCTGGCTAAGTTTTTTTTAATTTTTTGTAGAGACGAGGTCTCACTATGTTGTCCAGGCTGGTTTTGAACTCCTGGGCTCAAGCAGTCCTCTTGCCTTGGCCTCCCAAGTGCTGGGATTAGAGGAGTGAACCACCAGGCCCAGCTCCAAACACTATTTATTCCCTGAAAAAGCAGCTGAAAATATGGGCGCAGATTTTACATTTTATGTTCTCAGGTTAGGCTCGGGAGGGTGTTTTTCCTGGACTGTGCTAGGCTGGGCCTAGCTGTGGAGACGCCCACACATTCTGGTCTGTCTGGAGCCTGCACCCAGCCTGGACCCCCCTCAGGTCCCTGCTAGAGAGGTCTGGCGCTGCTCCTAGAACGCTGTCTTCACTGTCCCTCCCTCCCGCAGCCCAAAGGGAGGGCGTTCAGGACTTGTAGCTCTGCATCCTTGCAAAGAGCTCTGTCCTCTGGCGTTAGGTACTATCAAACTTTCTGTTCCTCCCTAGCATAGAAAGGCTCACTTCCGGCCCTGAAGCTGCTCACCCAGGGTGAGACACCGAGGCACAGCTGTACGCGGGTGGGAAACACTCTCCCTTTAGCCCGGCCAGGAGGCCGAGAGCCCCCAAAGGATGGAAAAAGGGGTGATGGTCGTCTCGGTTAGCCCCTCAGGTCCTGGCCCAGTGGGGAGCAGGAGGATGGGAAGGCTGCCCTTCATGTTCACTCTGTAGTCGAGGCTCAGAGGTTTGGGTCTGTGTTCTCCTGGCCCCAGGTTTCCTCCTCTTCACTTAGGGACTCCTGGATCAAAGCCCGAAAGCCCCGGTTATGGGCCTGTGCTGTTCCTCAGGGTCACAGCCTCGGGGCCAGCCGGCATCTCACCTCTTGCCTTAGCCCCAGAGGAGCCAGTGAAGGACTCTGACGATCCCAGCCAGGGCCTGTGGGGCCCTCCCAGCCCAGCTCACAGGGCCCTGCATCAGGTGACTTGCTCTTACCAGACTGAGGCCTCTGTCCCGCCGCAGGGTGGCATAGAAGTGCAGCACACGGGGGTCACAGCGAACCGCGGTGGGGTCGAAGTCCAGCACACGCAGGCCCTGCAGGCTGCGGGCCCGGGAAAGAGCCACGTAGGCCTGGCCGCTGGCAAACACACGACCCAGCGAGATCTCCACGCAATCCAGGGACATGCCCTGGGGAACGGAGGGACAGAGACAGAGCCGTCTCAGCCTGAGGTCCCTTGCTTCGAAGAGCCTGGTCCTCCACCAGCCTGCCTACTGCCTGCTCCTGGGTCTCCTCGCCCAGCCAAGAGAGAGAACAGGACAGCAGATGGTTGCCTGAGTAGGAGTGGGAGCAGGAGACACAGAGTCAGGATAAAAGCTGAGGGGGCCGGGTTCAGTGGCTCAGCCTGTAATCCCACGCCTTTGGGAGGCTGAGGTGAGTGGATTGCCTGAGCCTGTG